CTGCAATCCAGTCCAGCCTGGATTGCAGATAACAATTAGGGGATCTTCAATGGCATCGTGAGACCTAATCGAATAAGTGCGAGAAAATTCATTCATCGGTTCTTCATCATCGCATACAAATCGGGGTGAGTATAGTTCTCATTAAAGATGGACTGGGGATGCCAAAACCCAGAGTTTTGACCCCTGAAATGTGGTCTCTTTTCGCGCAAACTAATTAATCAAGTAAAGAAGTAAAAGTTTAGTTATCTTCCATCCCTATAATTTGGTTCGTCCTCTAAGCAGATGAAACATCCGGAAACCTCTCTCAGTGTAGGATGCAGACACAGGGAGGATCTCTCGTGGACCGCCTCAACCAAAAAATCGTGTAGTGAAGTGAAGCGACTACAGAGCAACACGACTATGGCTCTGTCACACGACATAAGTCGCCTCATGTGGTAACATGCTGAGTTCGATTCCCGTTGGGGATTCTGAGGAGGAGGTGAGACGAGGTCGAAACTACAGGCCCGTCTAGCCTGGATGAGAGTACATTTTGTGAGCAGGGCAATGGGAAATCGCATGGAAATCTGCGGCCTGCACATGCGAGTGGCAAAATTCAACCATCACATCCTCATCACCTTTTGCGACCGAGGATGAATGCAGCTCCTATTCAGGAGCTGCGGGCAGTTTCGAAACCCATTTAATATTATCTCAGGAGAGAAATCGAAACCCAATTACTTTTCATACACACAAACATAAGCGAGCTGCCATGCCGAGGTCGAACCAAACGGCAGGTGAGGTCCAATTACAGGGTTTCCCAGCGGTCCACTGTCCGCTCAGCATCCGTTTGCGAGACAAAAATAGCCCGAATACCCAAAGTAGATATGAATGAGAGAAGCAGAGTGAGAGTACCAAAAAGCTAGGATAGGAGGCCTGCAAAAAAGGGAGTGTTTTATGTGGCCTAAATTCCATCGCCTTCCGTATTTTCGGCTCACTCGGTGATCTTTGCGAGACATCCTAAGCTGTGGCATTCAGCCAAATTATCTGAACCTAAGATCTGTCCTTCCAGCAGAGGTTTTCTCACCAGACTGACAATTCGTTTGATAAGGTTATACAACCCTGGAAAGCAGATGGGACATCTAAGGGGCTGAAAATGTGGATGAGCAAGAACCGGCTAAGAAGTGGTTTGTCGTGTCGTCAGGGCGGTCGGACTAAAAACTGTTTGTCTCTACCTTTCCATCAGAGTAGACTTGATAATTCATGTGGTATATATG